TTAAACCTGAAGTGCGGAGCTCTGTGCTAGCATTTCATAGACTCAGGATGGTCGATGTTGCTATAGATTACAATAGTTTTGTACCCAAACGTCCTAGGATCCAATCCTCTGCTTTTGTGTTTGAATGCTATTCTGTACTACTGCACATAAATGAAAATGCAGCTTGTCACATCTGAACATTAAAAGAGAAACTTTAGAGAAGCTATACAACTCTGGAAGAAAGGTGGGGTTGGAAGTGTAGGAGTAACTGGTGTCATAGAGATTAAATGACAAAGGAAACCCTCCAAAACCAAAGGCAGTCTTCCTTTTTATTTTTTCCAGTCTTTCTCTCCATCTTATCCAATGAAGTAAAGTTGGTTTTTGTGTGTGCAATGACAAAAAAGTTAAAGGTTATCTTATTTGTAAAACTTAAAAGGAGCAATACCAACCTTAATTACATCATGAGGAACACATGAGCTTGTTTCCTTGAGTCTGGAAATAGAACTGTGACAGAGACCTCCTATCACTGCCATTAATGTATTGAAATTCTGTAGCTGGTGAAGCTTCTGTGTGGACATAGAAAAAAATCAGTATTTATTATTTAAAGGTTCACATTTTTCAACATGCATGTCCAAATTCTACATTTCCTTTACTGTCTTCCTCTAAAGTCTTAGAAGTTTTGTGCCACTATCCATTCCTTAATTTTGGTAATGAGTTGTCATTTTACTGGGTGTAACAGGTACTCATACCTCTGTTATTAAATCAGACATTAATTCTGCAGATACAGTAAGTCTTCAAAGTACTTCCTCAGTACTTCTCCCTCTTCCCACAGTCTACCACAACTAGGAAACACTGCCCATTATCTTGGTTATGACTGCAGTTGAATTAGTATGCAAAGAATACCAACAGGACCATAGCTCTGCTTCTATCCAGTTAAGTGTACCTGGGAGAAATGCTTCTAATTACAGCCAAAGGCATGATAGTGGTTCATGCTTTGGAAAGGTACGCAGTCACAGCTTGGAATCTCACCAGTTGATTCAAAAGCAAGTCTAGTTTTTCAGTTAAAACAATTTATTCAGAATGGATATGAGAAAGTCACGGTGCACGACACTGTACTTGGTATGAAACCACAGCACACACAAATATGCATGCTGTACGTACGAACCAGGAGACCAGGGCCAGCATTCCCTGCTGACCCTACAGTAGTAGCATAGGAAGAGCAACTAAAGGGCTGTATCAAAGACAAAATAAACACCTTACATGTCAAAATTTAACTGACCTGTGCAACATGAATGAACTTGACGAACACTTCAGCCCGAAGCTGTGGCGTTGGTCTGCTGAGAACCATTAGCTGCACCCACTGAGAGATACCATTGCAAAGAGCAATTGATCTTTCCATTGTCGGATTCTCCTTCACACAACTATTCACAATGTAGTTCTGATAATCTGAGAACTTTAAAAACACAAAAAGAGTAAATGAAAACACATCTACAGTTTCATATACCTCATGATCTGTGTGCAGATAGAGGTCTGCTTTTCAAATGAAATATACAACATATATTTTACACTTTAAATACCCATAAGACTGAAACCTCTCCTTGTCAAAGCTTTGTTCAGTCCAAAGCAGAAGGCTTCAACTAGTGGAATTAACTGAAAGCATCTTTTCGCCATAATTTGTATCATATCATTTGCATCATGTATATCTCGGGAGCCTTGGCTGTTACAAACCCGAGGATGAGTAGAACTTGGGTTTTCCTCCCAGCCTCTGTGGCTCCATAGATTCATTGAATCTAGGCTTCTACAGGGAAGGTTAAACTGAATTTGAAGTGTAATCTAGTCATTCAGTGACAGTTTAGGAAGTTTAAGGAAGTTAAGTGTTCAGTTTATGTAGCTAGGGCACACTTCTGAATTAAGCTACACTAATACAAAAAGCAAGTTCCATAAGATTAATATAAAACTAAGTTAAGACCTTTAAGAATGAGGGCTACAGATTCCTTAATATTTTTAATACAGCTCCTAAGATTCTCTTTTTAACCAAAGCAACCTAAAATTGTTCAGCAGACACCTGTATGTGACAAATAGATTTTTTTTTAAGCCATTCTTCCCATTAAGATCAAAGAGAAGCCATCTTTTTTTTGTTGTTGTTGATGAAATGTTAATCCATTCTCTTGATCTATGCGTTAGCAAGAACACACAAGAATTTGAATCATCAGAAAATGTGGCATGGGATTTATACATCCATTCTTTACTATGACCACTAATACTACCATCTTCCCAAAACCATTCATAGCTGTAATAAGACACATATTCCTTTCTTAAGGCCACAGAAACATGCTGAATGGCATTGCTCCTTAAGAAAAGGTTATAAATTGTCAGACTGCAGTTTGTTTCTTGCTCTCCCTCTCACTTTCTCTTCACTTTTAAACTTTTTTTCCATCCATTTAATAAGAACTATTAACATTTTAAAAGTGTTAATATGACAGCAGACATATCTGGATTTGTCCTCTTATTAAATTAAAAATGGAAGCAACATTAACAGTAATAAGTAGAGCTGTCTCTGAGATTACATGGTACTTACAATTACTGTTTGAATTTTGAACCCCAGCCAGATTTGGCTGGATCTTGAAATTTAAGCAACTACTCTATGCAGATAGATAATTTTTTCAATATCTGACTACATAATTATGGACTTCATAAAAGTTTCAGCACAATTATGAATCAGTTTGATTAATTTACATTTTGTTCTCAGCAGTTCTCTCCTTCAGAAAAGACTTTTTTTTTTTTTAAATGCTGAACAAATTTCCATTTAACATACTACTTAAAAGTTTTGAAATAATTTTGGTGCAAGAATTTCTTGAGATCAGCTGTAACAAGACTGTTAGTGGCAGATACAGTAAAGAAGTCCAGGTACTTAAATAATGCAAGAGCCTGGTTTTGCAATGACTAACTTATGAGCCTCAACAGGAAAGCAGAATCCAGATTCTTACAAAAGAGTGTAGCCTCCCTGGATTTTGTAAGTATACATTAAAAGGGTTTCCAAACACCAGCATACCTGTAGTCACTACTCTGTGAACACAACTCCCTGCATTTTTCTTTGCTGCAAGATACATGCCGTCTTGTGGAAGACTTTGCTATGTGCTGTTTATGCTCAGGGGATCAAGTATTCCTTTCTGACTTTCAAATGACTGAACCTATGAATAGTTACTCCACTGACTGATAACACAGCAGGTCATTTGCAGCCTTTCTCCCAGGATATGCTGCCACGTCAGAATAACAAAAGCATTCTGTGCCTTAGCTTATCGCGAACACATTCTGCCAAGAGTTAACGAATGTAGCGATCCATTAATTACACATTATTTTCTGATCTGAGGTCTCAGTAAATTCAGTTTACACCAAAACATATGCAGGGACCCAGCATATAAAACGTATACAAGTATGTAACTGTTGGTTGGAACTCTGACATATCCGACACGATGACTGCAAGCATACTTGTTCTGCTCATTAATCATTAATTACATTACGTTGGCATAGAGCTTGCAAATGTTAAGAGAGTTATATAAGCTTTGCATATTATTAGTGCCTACAGGCAGCAATCTGTGCATGACTTTGGTTCTATGGCTTTTTGAATTTAACACAAAACATGAAGAGTCATGTACTGTCAGTTCAAAATAAAGTACACGTACACATGACTGAAATCTTCCACAACCTGTTGAGAGCCCCTTTCCTTCCAAGACTTAATCTTCAACCTATAGTGTTTCAAAAACACCCACTAAATAACCAAAACAAACAAAAAACTAAAAAATCCACTTTGCTTTCACTGCTATCATCACATTGACTGTGCAACCTTCTTAGATTTTGGCCTGTAATGTACACTTTTATTTTCCATGTGTGAACTGTATCGGGTTTGAACAGAAGTAATGTTGTAGCATACAAGGGTGCAAGTGAAGCCAAAGTGCATAGGGAAATTACCAACTTACCAGATACCAACATAGCTGAGAAAATAAATCAAATGAAAGAAAACATAAATTAGATAAATCCTTAAGAACTGTTTGTGTACTTGAAAGATTGCCTAGTAAAATATTTTGAACCCCTCTTATATTAAAAAATGTCATTTTCTCAAGTGCTTTCTTACCCCTCGTCTTTATTTTGTTATGCACGATCAAAAATTGCAAGTAGAGTACAGCAGACATCTTCTATACAGAGTCCATTAGTCACTCCACAAGAATGCTGCACCATTTTCCTACAGCCACAGGAGGTTAGCATTCTAGGAGAATATTTCAAGTTTCCTTCATCACATTTCAGCCTGATTACTGATTTGAGTCAAAGGAGGCTGCTTGTTCCTGTGCCCAATGACACCACTTGTTTTAACAAAAAGAGATTATTTGGAAGAAGATCAAACGGTTTACTCCTCTTCCTTCCAACTGACCTTGCCCCGACTCTTTTCCACAGTAGCTTAAAAGGTTCAGTCTCCCCCTCTCAAATGACTGCAGCAAAAGGGTACGTACTCCGAATAAGAACCACTGGCCACCTTCAACACTAGTAAAATGAAAAAAGTCTGGACACAGAGTCAGCTTGTCCAACAGCTTGCACTGCAAGGTTAATCATGTCATACTACCCCTCTCACATCCTTTCTACACCCTTTCCATCTTTGTTTAAAATAAATAATGAAATAGATACATTTAAAAAGAAAATAAATTACTTACTGATATTCTTCTGAAAGACTTAAATTCAAGATAGGTAAGGTGGTCTGACAGCTCCTCTGGCTCAAGGTGATCAAAAAGAAGCGAGACTTTCCGTTTCTTACTGGTGTTAGTCTTTACACGCTGTGTCAGCTTTCTAGACCAATCCCTAGAGTTGCTTTTAGACAAATTTTAAAACAGAATTACCCTTAGTTATTTTCTAAAGAGCAAACTTTTCCTCTCTCCCTAATACAAAAGTAACATTGTTTTCATGCCTTACTGCAATAAAAAGTGAATTATTTGGATTCCTAAAGAGCAAGCTCCTTTCATGCATTAGAGATGCTATGACAAAACACTATTGTTAGCCTTCATTATATTGTTAGTCTTTATTATATTGATGTAGCATGTAAGGACAATACAACTGTATTGCCAAACAGCATGAGATTATATATTGCACTTCCAGAATTGCTGTCCGTGACTTCATCTTAATTGAATGTATCCAGTGCTCCTCCATTTAATAATTCTTCCAGATTTCCTCAACCAGCCTCTAAGTATAAACCATCCCCCCTGTGCTATTCACCCATGGGGTAATGAAATTTGACTGGATTTGAAAAACTAAACACTCTCTTTCACAATCAGATATAAAACGTATGCCAAATTCTGCTCTGCTTTTGACTGTGCATTTCCAACCAAAGTATGAATTGACACTGTTATACAGTTCCATGGAACTATCTTACTCTCATATAACAAGGAAGGTTCTTTTCCTAAGAAAGGACTATGTGATGTATAGCTGTAGGATTTATTCTTGAATGGGCAAGTGATTTTGTAACTAAAAACACACAAAATATTACCAAGAGTCTGATAATGTAATAAACTATATCTTCTCACTTACCTTTGGTGTTAAAAAATATAAACACACTTTTTTTACCTTATCTGTTACCTCATCTGTATTCTCCATTCTCATTGACTTAAAGTGATCTTTCAAAATCATTAGGTCTCTACAAATTTTCTAAATTCCCTGGATAGAGTAAAATTTATCTAGCATAGACAACCAGCACAAATCTATATAGCAGTTAAATTCAATCTAAGCCATTCTTGAAAAGCATTCTGTTCCTCTATGTAATATATATTTAATCCATAATGATGTGTAAACTCTCCTAAGGATAGATAACATACGACTTACTAAAATTAATCCACTATAGGACCATTATAGGCTATACCGGAGAGACATTATATTTGAATGAAGGAAATTCAGACCAAAAGTTTGTTTTCTGAGCATATTAAGAGCTTGGCACTCACATTTGAGTTGTGTCAATTAGACGGCAGTGTAACTCCTCCCCATTAGCTTTAACCAGTTCTTGAAATTCCTCCATAGTGGTGGATAGTTTAGAGTCCATTTTGAACATAACCCAGAACTCTGTAATCCAATACCTATTGCATATTGAAAACACAAAAACACAAAAATAAAGGTTTTGCTCTAACACCAGTAAGGCTGAAATTTAGAGAGCTGCTCCTGTTCATGAGTTGTATTTCTTCTTGACTCATTTCAAGGGACAAATCTTGGTTTTAGATACTTTGCTAGGCTACCTTGATTTTTATCAAAAATCAAAATTTCAAGATTAAAAACGAATTAGAAACTACCTGGCTTAATATTGTATGGAACTATACTACATATATGTTTGCAATAAATTCAATATTAAAATTCCTAGCTTCATATTCAATCCAAACAATACACAAATTGATTTTTTTCTTCATTAACTTCTAGATAGTTTTATATATTCCTTTAAAATTTGAAATTATTTGGTCTGAATGTAAAAAAAAAATGCACTATGCCAGTCAGAATTTTATCTATTAACTGAAGAAAAATTCACTAATTAAATATATTCAATAATTTATAGGTGATTTGGTCTCACATGCATAAAACAGAGAACTACACTTTTCCATGTTGAGCATTCAAATTGTTCCAGTCATATATTTTATATTTAACTCCTATATGTGACTCATCACCCACTGTGGTGGGTTAACCCTGGCCAGCAACTAAGTACCCGCTCAGGTGCTGTTTCACTCCTCGCGGCAGCAGGATGGGGTGGAGAATAGGAAGGGCAAAAGCGAGGACAATGTGTGGGTCAAGGTAAAGACAGTTTAGTAACTGAATGAAAGAAAAAAGCCAAACAAACGAGTGATGCAAAGGCAACCACTCACCATCTCCCACAAGATGCCCAGCCAGTACCTGAGCAACAGCTACTTTGGAATTACTATCCTCCAAGTTTTTATTGCTGAGCTGATGCTGTATGGCATGGAACACCCTTCTGGTCAACCCAAGTCAGCTGTCCTGGCTGTGTCCCCTCCCAATCACCCCCAGCCAATGCTATGGGGAGGCAGAGTGAGAAACAGAAAGTCTTGATGCTGTGCAATCACTGTTCAGCAACAGCTAAAACATTGGTGTGTTTTACTCACAGATGCAAAGCACAGCATCAGAGGGGCTGCTATGAAGAGTTAACTCCATCCCAGCTAGACCCAGTACACCCAGGCATGTAAAAATCCATGCCTGCTGGAAAAATGGACACGCATGATCTTATGGGGATGTATGTATGTGTGAATTTGCCTAGAAGCAAAAATGTTCACAGATCACATAGGACACCCAAGCACTATGACCTAATCAATCACCTGCTTTAAGATAATAAAATGATCATTTCAAACAAATTTTACTTTCCTAACTGCTACTATGTATTACCCATTTTGTGTAAAAAAGAGGTATCATATGCTAATCTATTAGCAGTTGCATCTTTTTTTCCTCTCTTCTGTTTTCTCTAAACTGAGATATCAAACTTTACTATAGTTAATTAAAAAAAAAAGTGATCCGGGATCATTGTAATGGACTAAGCAGAATTACTAAGGAGAATTACCTACCAAATACAATAGAGTTTTGCTTAATAGAAAAATAGCTGCAATATCCCACTTCATTATTTTAATAGAGCTAGATAATATTAGACACAATGCTAGCAACTCCTGAGTACTGTCAATTTTCACTGATGTTTAAGATACAGATTCATACCAACTCCGTTCAAAACTGTGACCCAATAATTCATGCACTGGCTTCAATGGATCTGCACAAAGGCAGCTGGGCCTTTTCGTGTAAAGCTGCTAAAGTAAAACCTTGAAAAGCTAAAGCAGTATGGCTGTTTCTCTTTCTAATGTCAGCTTAAGATATGCAAAAACATTCTTATGCATGGCACACGGATAGCTGCAGACTGTAAAACCTACCAAGCAAGAATATTCTTACCTCACAAAATAGCATATCTTTACACACAGCATGGAAGATTTATTTTCTAAAGCATTAAGATAGGTAGAAAACTGTTAAGGAAAACCACATCCATTGACATAGGATATGAAATGTTACATGCTTGATACTTCCCTATCTGTCAACAATAAGAATCATTCTACTGATGGCATATAATATCAGATTAGGGTTTTACACAAGTGTATACAAAGTATATCCCAAGATCATTAGCAAAAGTTTATTGTAAATATGACTACTATGAGTAATACTGATGTAGCTGCCCAAGTACTAAGTGAGGTTAGGTAGTGAAATGATTCCGCTTCCTACATGCACTTCTTTGCAACATGCCTCATGATTTCTAATAAAATTCATGTACTTGCACATCACACTAGAATTTGAAACAGTAATACCAAATTTATAAATTTCTGCTTTTATGAAGAAATCCTTTTCAGTTAATTACTATTCATTGGATCTTCTCCAAAAAAAGATGCTATTTTCTTTTAAACATAACCAGTTGTATACAATAGTAGAAAAAAATGTGAAATGCCTCTCCTTGCTAACCTCACCTTTCTAACTATGCAACAGTTTTCATCTGACTTGCTGAGATAACTGGAAAGAAATATCCATATTTTTGGCCTATTAGCTCTATAAAACAGTTTTTGATATTGTAGACAATGTCTTTTGAAGACACAGAAAATCCATTTGGAAAATGTATTATGCATATCTTGATTCTTCTGCTGTAGATTACACACATTTTCAGAACTAAAAAATGTAATTTAACGAAAATACGTTGTGGATCCTCCTACAATCTGACTGAAATTAACTACAGCCTAGGGGGACATACTACAACTGAGGGGACATACCATCCACAATTTTAAGCACCCATATTAAGTGCTTGAATTAGGCTGACTATAGAACTAGTGAGGCCTGAATAAGTTCCCAAATATTTTTAAGGTCCTCAAACAGAATGTCGGAAGTTAGATGGCTTACAAATCATCCATAACCATCTAAAATCACTCACCTAATTTAGGGTATGGAAAATGGTGAAACTGGGATATTAGCAAGGTTTTCAAAATAAGAGAGCGCAGATTATCTGATCCATTCAAAATCATCTGTAGCTTTCATTGTCTTTACAGGGAGCTATACATAGAGCCAAAAACCAAGCTTGCAAAATACACAAGTCTGATAAAAGTTTGAATCATTTCTTTGACTGTAGAAGATGTTATTTCTCAGAAACATGCAAGTACTTCCTTCCATTTTCAAAGAGTACATGAGCCCAAGTTAAACACAACACTACACCACAGTTGTAGCCTACCACACTTGATCTAACACTTGACGTTAGAGAAGCAGCAGGACAGTAAGAATCCAACACTACGATAAAGCTCTGTTGTAAAAAAGCCAGTAAAATACAGAGATTGGGGAAATAAAGGATTTTCTAAAGTAAATTGTACCAAAATTGGCTGGAGATTCTTAGCATGTCAGGTCTGCTTCGTGTACTGTGCTCATCTAATTAAGAGTAAATCTTCTGTAAAGCTAAGAAGTCAGGTAATGTATTCCACAATTAAAAATTCCTAAAGAAGGCTAGTATTGCAAATATAATCAAGTAGCTTTGTTGTAAAAAATCTAATGAGCCAGAAACACACATGTATGAGTCCAGGAAGTCACCTCAAAATGGGAACAAATAGGAAGGAAAAGTTTATGTTTTATTTCAGTGCAATGTAATTTTGAGTGTGCGAGTGAGAAACAGTATTTGTCGAAAATTTTCATCTCCAGATGATACAAGCAGAATACTTTCAAAAATTACACTTTTGTTCTTTGCTCTTTTACTTGTCTGGAGAACAGAAAGAGAAAGAGATCTGAAATTTAGGCCCAGGTTCACAGTACTTAACTGAGGTGCCTCCATTACTCTAACACTTGCTAGATATTCCCTCCACAGCCAAAGCACGGTGATTTATCCTACTTAAAATCTGAACTGGATTTTCATCTTTTTTCTCTGTGGATGATAAACTAAACTAAACACACAAACAAAAAACCCCAACCCTAAACAAAACAAGAACACACTTTACAACCAAAAAACATAAAGAACAAGTATATTGTTTAATTAGTGAAACAGTAATACCTCCATGGACTAAATATCCTCTACTTACCCATTTCAAAGTTGTCAAGTTATCTAATGCTACCTTAACAACAGGTGAATATTACAAAGGATATAGATCAATGAGTTTCTGGAGCATGTCTGCAGAGGAGATGATAAACTGATGCATGGCCAGAATTATCTTTAGCAGCTGGTTGTTTTTATATGCATTTCCTTCTAAATCTGAAAAAAAAAAAAAAAAAAAAGGAATATTCATATTGAAATCTTGGTATACCTTGGTAAACAACTTGCAAGAGGCTTTTTCAGAATACTAATTTTAATCAGGCCTGTTCACCTACGCTATTTCAAAGACAGCAGTAGCTTACTAACTTAGGAAGTGCATAATTTTTCTGATGACTGCTATACAACAATAAGTATATTTCACTACCAGGACTTAGTAGGCTCTTACAAAAAAAAAAAAAAAAAAAGGCAAGCAAAAAAGCAGATGTGGCTCAGAAGCACTCAAAATATCCAGATAACTATACATAATAATCTCAGTCCAGCAATGCACTTAAATGCTTAGCTTTAGGCAGATGAGGATAACCTTTGAAACAAATTAATGAATCACAGAGCAAAAGAATTCAGTTACTGATCCATATCAGTCAGTCAGTCAGTGGCATAACTGAACTTATCAAACAGAATGGTGATATTCTGAAGTGTTCATGAGGCTTTTTGTACAGCTGACATACATGACACTAAAGTACCTGCAGAGGTTAGGATCTACACCTAGATGCACACTGGACAAGATACATTGTACGCAGAAGTCCAGAGGTTAACCTACGCATAGTCCTGGTGGTGAACCTAAATGTCCTGACACATTTCCCTGAACTATGTGCTACAAGGATTTCACTTGAAGAAGGTTTTTAGACTACAACTGTCTTCTGGGTCTTGTGGGGGTTTTTTTTCCATATTCAGAAAAGATCAAGGACATCATATGTAGCAAATAGTTTAAAAAAGTTTCCATTTCTGTAACAGACAGTAATGCAAGTGTTTGTAAATATTAACAGATTATGTTTTTCTCTGATAGCCTGCTATCAGAGAACTTAAGTAGCTTGAATTGGAATTAAATACCCTTTCAAACATAAAAGAAAATTTACCTTTTTGAATAATTTTAAATACATTGTCCTCTGTGAGGAGAAATTCAGTTATCATTTAAAATAGCAATAACAGGAACAACATGCAGAAGCAATGCACAATAAGGCAAAATGGAAGAGGTAGGTGAAATAGCAGATTTGCAACATATTAAACAGCATCTGTTACCAGAGGAGAAAAAAAAAATTGCACAACACCAAAAATGAACATTAAACTTAGCCCACTTGCAAAACAGCATAATCCATGTTAGTCATTGAGCAAAAGTGCCTATGCCCTTCTACAGGAAGGTATAAATCGTGAAAAGACAAACCCAGAGCCCAGGCCTTTCCTTTTGAACAATTCATTGGGTCTTTGGTAGAACCAATAAAGCCTCATTTCCTCTAAATCTGTCTCCCCTATTCTTCACTAGTCCTAGTCATGCCTTTTATCACTATACTCTCCCCTGAAAGACTTTTTCTTCTCTTCCCCACAGCAACGCCATGACTCAACGCTCACGCTTAAAGCCATCAGCTACACAAAAGCAATACATGCTGTGGCTGAATCCAGGCTGACTGGCCAGGCAGCAAATCAAACCAAACCAATGCTGGGCTCACACAGCTGCCCCTACACCAATGTGGGCACCGACCTGGATCTCTCTCTTCTACACAAGCAATTCTTTGAGATTTGTATCTTTCCATCAATTCAGTTTAAGCTGCCAGACAGGCTGACTATTTAATGCAGAGTAGATGTGGCTTAGTAGGAAGGTGACTCATAATGTCCTAGATCTGTAGTTTACAATGAAGTTATTGTTTTAGCTGACCGTTTGAAGCCCTGAAAGCAGAGGACATGCTGGGTATCATATACCTGGAGTGGGTAACTTCATTCTTCTAGCAAAAGCATAGTCAGTTTGCAGGAAACTCAATACAATAAACAGACTTGAAGTATCTTACTACAGCCAGCCTCTCAGGCAAGACAAGCAGAAAAATCCTCAGCAGTAAATTCTGGCAGCGCCTATGTGAACATGCAGCAACCCACTGAGCAATATCAAGCCCAGAATGAGAACTCTATGCATCAGGTGATGCATAAAGAACGTGAGAGACCATTTTCGGAGTCTACCTTCTGTAGTTACACTTAAATTCTACCTACAGGGATAGGGGCAAGGGGAAAGTCTGCCTATCCTACAGCCCCCTAAATAAGAGCAGCACACACTCCAAGTAACTAAAAGTTGTTGAGATGCCTTTTGACTTATACTACAAGTTCTCAGTTGAATAGCATGAACCAAAGTTTATGCATTCCTTGTTTGTGTTTTCACATAATTTCATTCATCACCTAAAGAATCCTTCTGGGATATAAACTGCCTAGGTGTTACAGCAGGTGTATTGAGGGCAAAACAGCAAAGTACTCAGCCAGAGAAGTGGCAAATTTGCAGAGGAAGGTTGGGACATCAGGAATAAATACTTATCCAGGCCTTTAGTATTTGGCATTTTGTATTCTTCAGTGTCTTCAGGAAAAGCAAAATCATTTTAGGCCTTGCACACAGAGGCCCGTATCAATTTTCATCCATTTTACAAAACTTGGTGTTCTGCCAGAGCCTCCATCCAACAGCTCTTGTTTAAATCCGAAACATAGTTCAATTTGGAAGCCAAATGGTTATGTGCACACATACTATTAAGTATATACAGCTGTAATGAAATCACCAGCTTTTCAGAAGTGCTCAACAGATCATCTCCAGCTGACAAAGACAACAAATAACTCTCCTAGCAGTTTCTCCTCTGTCTGGATTCCAAAATTCTCTGCCATGACATAACATAGGTAGGACTTGGCAGCAGGTTCCAGACTGAATTTCTCTCCTCTAGAAGGGCTCTTTTCCATTTTACAAAGATGCAAAGAAAAACAGTATGTTCTGCGTGCTATTAGCGATTAGGTCAACACATTTATGGTATTTTCTTGCATAATAAAAGTGCATTTATGCTTCACAACCTAATTATCTCACAACAGAGATAGATTTCATTATGATGTCACTCAACTGTTTTGCACACATTAAAGCAACAGTAAGTTTTGTGCTATCCACTCTCTCACCCAACTAAAAGGCTTATCTCCACAAAGAAAAACATTGCATTAGTGATGGTCTAAAAATCAAAATAAACACTCTGTGGCAAAAAATATGAAGGTTCCCAGCACAGTTCAGCATTTAACAGCAAGCCTGCATGGAATTGTAGCAGTACACAACACGTTCAGAATCAAATAGTTAATGTCATCATCCTGCCCAGTTTTAAAAGGAAGCACTTTTCAAGTGTATACACCATGATACAGCAAATGTTACTGAAAAAGAAAAATATTGAGTCTGATTCCTTTTCCATTTGTATTTCACAAATTCATAATTCAAAAGAATCCATGGAGTTAAACTGGTAAAAACGAGCCTTAGATGAGAAAAGACTCCAGCTCAGTTTCAGAACTGTCGTTGGTTCTTTCACATCTCTGACCACTAGGTCACCTCTTTTCGGAGAGCTAACCTGCTAAACATAGCTGTGTGTAAGGAAGTAACAAAACTTATGGTAAACTGTCTTTGTGCAAATGGTGGAGCCAATAAGAGGGCTTTCCTGACTGTGCTGCAAGAGTGTCACTGAACACCTCTGCAGCACTCTCTTGAACCTCCAGCAGTTTGTTTTAAAACTTTTAGACTCATTTTCATTTCCGTTTGTATACCTGTTTCTAACCACACACCCTGCTGAGCAAAAACCACTACGTGAATGCTAAATAAAGTGGAATGGGTGTGTTTCAGTTAGTCAATTTACCTTAAAGCAAGCTGTAAAACACTACAGAAGCTTTAGCTTTGTTTCCATGCAGCAAAATACAAATAACCCACTGGTTACATGCTTTGCCTCCTGTAAATGCCCTTATTGTACTAGGATATTTTAAGAAATATTATCTGAAACAAACAAGGAAGCAGGAGTTGAATATACTTCTCCAGTATTTAACTACAGGAATGAAAGCACAAAGAAATTTAGGAACAAATATTTTATTATCTATGTAGTAACATAAAGCCACTAAAAACTGCCTACAATTACAAAAGTTCCATTGCATATGTGAGACTCGGAACACCACAGGCTAAGAACATTCTCATCTAGGACCATCAGCCACTCTATTGCACGACCCAGTTGGTGGCTCCCTGCAATCTGCGGTTTAGAAATAACCGAAGTATTACTTGTTCCTGAAACAGCTGAAAGAATCAAAGCACTCAAAAGCCAATAAGCAAGGCTTTAAGAGCAAATTGCCTGCTTTTCACCAGGTCCATGGCCACCAAGCCCGTGGTAAATACACCTAACAGAAAGAGTACGTTCAATAGACAAGATTGCTGTACTGAGACCTTCCCACTCATGAGTGCAATGATAAGGCAACAGGAAGAATGCCAAGGATATCTTAACTGAACTGAATTATGCAAGAAAGAAAAGTTAGCTTTTCTAGGTCTGAGGCCTTTATTTCATAAGCAGGTTCCAACTCTGTCACTTAGTGTACCATTTGAAATGAATCAGAAGCGAATCACAGAACACTGACACCACATGATCAGTGACTCAGAACACGAATAACTTCTTGTAAAACCCCCTTTAGTCTTCCAGTAGTTATCAAAAAGTAGCACCAAATACCATGCAATGCAAGAAAGCATCAAGCAATTGCCAGGAGGTCTCACTAAGTGCAAAGCTGAAAGTCGTGGGTTGTGCTACATAAAATTCTTCAGGATTTCTGCAAAGTGTTTTTTTTCCTAGTGTCTTAAAGAAGACAGTGTGGGGACAGTGTTATAAATGTCTGCTAAGATTATTAAAGCAGTATGTGATTTGAAAACTGGGGGAACTGATGTTCTTACAGTCTTAAGGTCCCAAAGACCTTGATGAAACACACAGACATGTATGAAATATGGAGGTACATGTGGGAGTACATGCTAGGCTTTAGTGGCAACTGAAACAGCCATAAGTCAACGTCTCTGCCCGACATGAGAGGTGCAGAACTACGAGATAACCTTAGAATGGCTAAAAGCAACCAAAATTGAATTAAATATTTCATTAGTATTTCACGGATACTTCCTGGAACCTCCCTTCACAAATTGGAAACGCTCT